AAAATTATCTTTCATTTGGGAAGAAAAGACATGACTATTCCCAGACAGACAAAACCTGAAAGAATTTACCAGCACCAGACCAGATCGCCAAGAAGTTCTTACGGGAGTGCTATGTAAATAAAATTAAATACAGACACACAGAAATAAGAGTTCAAAAACTAAGAAAATGGACAACTTAATTGTAGGGACAATCTGGAGTTGAGTATTACATCCCAGAATTCAATCTGGAAGATCAAACAACAACAGAAGAAAGATTAAGTGCATGATGATAACAAGAAGATTAAGCCACTATGCAGTATATTCTGGATGGAAAATTACACATTTTGTATGTTGTGACAATGCTTAGGGAATGAATGTAAATTAAGTTAAAAACATTTTAGAAAAAAACTAAAACTGTTTTTCTTTAAAAACAAAAAGCATTAAAAATATGTATTTGAGGGACCAGGAGTTAGCATAATGGCTATGTCGCTGGACTCCCATTTCCCATGTAGTCAACCATGGTTCAAGTCCCAGACCTGTTGGCTTAAAATCACGCCAGTGCGTGTGCATATGTGCCCAAGATCCTGAGAGGAGAATAGAGAAGAAAGGATTACGGCATGGCCATCTCCTCCTGGGGGTTAATTTCTAACTTTCTGTCTCTCTGTCTCTCTCTTTCTGACAAGTGTACATACCCTATAGCAAAAACCTCTCAAAAAAACAAAACAAAACAAAAACCTATTTGATGGGACCAGCAGTTATCGGAATGGCTATCTTGCTGGACTCCCATGTAGTTCACCACGGTTTGAGTCCCAGGTGGCTTAAACTCATGCTGGGCATGTGTGCATGCATGTCCAAGATCCTCAGAGGAAAATGGAGGAGAAGGGATTGTGGCGTGGCCATCCCCCTTCCCCCGGGTTTGTGTGAGTGTGGTGATTTCTTGCTTTCTGTCTCTGTCTTTCTGGCGAGTGCACACACCCTATAGCAAAAGGCCTCTCAAAAAGAAAAAAAATAAAATAACAATTTGATGACTGAAGTAAGATGTGTATTGCCAGTTGGGTGCTTTCTTGGTTCCAAGTATCAATTCATTATTTTTTTAAGAAGTATTTACTTTATCTCTATCTATCTATCATCTGTCATCTATCTATCCATTTATTTTACCAGAGAGAAACAAAGTTAGAGAGACAGAGAGATAAAGAGAGAGAGGGAAATGGAAAAAGCAAGATGCCAGGTTCAGAACTTGAACCACAGTTGAACATTTGGGAGCCCAGAACCCTTAACCACCATGCCACCTGTTGCTCCTATCATTTATTCTTATAGTAGAATTTATTTAGAAATGTTCCCAATAGTGGATTTTAAAAATATTCAATAAAAAGTATTTTTTTACTTCCTTAATTGTTAAAAAAATTTTACGTACATGTGAGCTCACTAAAGAGAGCATCAAAAATGGTCATGTCATGCATTTTTTTTCCTCCATTTTTCCATCCATTCCAGGTTTGAGGTATGCATGCACATGTGGCAACATATTTCTAAGTAATTGACCAGAATGTACATTTGTAGCCATTCTGGTGGGTCTCATTGTTATCCAGTGTACTACTCTAGACCAGGAAGGGCTTCAGTGAATAGTTCTCTATTTTGTGTGGGATTCATTAATATAGAAATAATGGATACAGAGAAACAATCCTCTCTCACACAACACATTTATCCCATTTGTTCCAAAAATATTGAGCCAAATTTTCCTTAGTGTTGTAGAAACGTTTTAGACACTCTCTCTTGTAATGCACATATTGGAACACATAGCATATATTCTCTCAGGTCCGTAATAGACACCCTTTGTTCCTTACCTTTTCTCATTAGCCTTCCATGAACTTCAGTGTTAGAATCAATGTTTTGGGCTATAAATAAAAACAACTGAACTAAAGGAAGGGGTCAGTTCTTCTTGCATCATCTGTCCTATCTCAAGCCAGCCCTCCTCCTTACTTAACCTTTTTTCAAGCCATTCTTCCACATCCTTATCATTGTGTATTATTTCATCCAAAGCAGAGTGGAAATTGAGAGGGAAGAAATACAAAATGCATTTCTAAGAAATACCCTTCATTCCATGAACTAGGATATACACACCTGCACTTCCCCACATCTTCAATGGTCTTTGTCCACATTTCCTACCACCTCTGTTCATGGAAGAGAAAACAAACAAACATAAGAATGTCACATTTTCAGTCTTAGGATTCTATAAACAATCAATTGTTGCAGGACTGACTGTTTTAGTTTTTTGCTATAGGACATGTGTGCTCACCTGAGAGAGACTGAGAAACAGAGACAGAGGAAAAGTAAGAATTCCTCAAAAAGGAATGACCACACCACAGTCCTGTCTCCATTCTCCTCTTGGGACTTTGGGCATGCATGCGTAGTGTTTTTCTTTTCTTTCCTTTCATTTTTTAAAATTTTTTTATTTTTATTTTTTTGGAGAGCTTTTCGCTATAGAGTGCGTGTGCTCGCCAGACAAGACAGAGAGAGACATAGAGACAGAAAACAAGGGAACCAGCAGTTAGCGTAATGGCTATGTTGCTGGACTCCCATGTAGTCGACCACAGTTCATGTCCCAGACCCGGTGGCTTAAAACTCACCCCAGGCACTTGTGCGTGCGTGGCCAAGATCCCGAGAGGAGAATGGAGGAGAAGGGATTGCAGCATGACCATCCTCCCTGGGGGGTGATTTCTCCTTTCTGTCTCTATGTCTCTCTCTGTCTGTCTGGCAAGCTCACACACCCTATAGCGAAAAACCTCTCCATAAAAAAAGAAAGCGAGAAAGCCCATTCTTATTTATCTCCTAAGAATAGATTAAGCATTCTTTATGTCTTAAATTATAAGATCAAAAAGTGACATTTTCAAATAAAAGCTTACTTACAAGTTAAGCACATATTTATCAAAGTGTGCCCTCACCGTTGTTATGTACATAATACTTCATTACTGTTGTCCCAATCCACAGGACAGTCAAACAGTAACCTGGGGGAGGGAGTGAGAAAAGGGACAAACTCACACAGACTGGATACAAGATGAGGTGCTGATCAAGTCTCGTTTATTAAGAAAGAATTGCGAGCTTATATACAGGCTGGTGGGCACCAATTGGTTGTCTGAAATGCAAATGAGATAGAACAGCACGAAGCAATCATTGGTGTGGGTGGATCTCTCCCGTTGCCTAGGAACCCAACAGCCCCATGGGAGATCGGTTGGTCACATGATTTCTGAGAAATGGTTTGCTTAATGAGGAAGTGAAACCTAACAGTTTCTGAGATGGTGAATAGCTCTCAAGATGGTGGACAGCTCAAGATGGCTTCCATATGCAATGCCCTCCACATATCACCCTTTTGTATTTTTTTTTAAAGAGAGGAGAAAAGGCCTGGGGGAATCGTGCCTGTCTTAGGTTGGAGTTGTTTTTAGAGCCACATGTCCATTCTTACCCATCATTGGAGAATCCCATTGCGATGATGGGTTTCCTGTCTTAGGTGGAAGGACTCTATAGCTATTGGGCTCAGACTCTTACCCGTCTTTGGCTAACCGACTCAGCGCCTCAGGCAGGAGCACAGTTTAGATTCTGCAATACTCCATCTCTAGGTTGTGGTGGTGGACTTGGATAGACTGCTTTATATATATATATATGTGTGTGTGTGTGTGTGTATATATGTGTGTGTGTGTATATATATGTATATATATATATTTATGTATGTGTGTATATATATATATATATATGTGTTTGTGTGTGTGTATATATATGTATATATGGATTATGTTGTTCTCCACAAAACTCAGTAAGGACTTGCTGAAACAGCAAAAGCAACTCAACTCAATGTGAGCAATGATCAAGAGAAAATAACAAGTAAAAGACTCATGAGTCCCAACTTAAAAGATTTTCATTCAAAGATGCATCCTTTTTTTCTCCTAGTCTTTTTAAGAAACCAACAAACAACAACAACAACAAAATTTCAACAGGTTTATGCTTGGCTTTGAAAATTTACACACTTATATATACCAAAAGAACAGAATTATTCTTAATTTGGCTTACTGGTCCCATACTTTATCTACCAAAGTATCCACTACTGTTTTCAAACAAATATTCTATACTATTATTTACAGTAAAAAATCTTTGCAATCCCTCTGATACATTTTAGTCCTCTGTTTTATTCTGATTAACAGATGGCATATTTTAAGTTTTAAGGCAGATGGTAAACTTTCCTGTAGGTCTTGTGAGGTTCATCTTGTCATGGGACAAAAACTGCACAGAAAATAATAAAGTTTCATCTTTTGAGGTTGAAGTAAAGAAACCTTGAGAAACAGAATAGCAAAGCTCCAGAGGCAATAGATTTGACCTAAGATGCTGTAGTTATGCTCTTGGCCTTTTCTTGAGGCCAGTGTAGTGTTTTACTTGCCACAATAGAAAACAGACTGTAAATAAAATATTTCTAAACTCAAATCCCAAAGCATGTTAGTAGACTTTTCACTAGGCATCTTAAAGCATTTTTAAAATAATACTAATATTGCTCAGCTCTTTGCAGAAAGTACGTTCTTTATGCCGACATTTCCAGTATTAAGAAGTACAGATACTAATCTTCACTCTTTCTATTACCAAGGATTTCCTCTTCCTCCAGCTTCTGAAGGACAAGCAAAAGCTTGAGGTGTGCATTTCAGAAGGTAAACTGCAGCATGAAGACCCCCTATGTTCACCCAGACTGTATGCACCTTTCGCCATGCATGTCCCATTCTAGATAATGTCTTGGTAAAGTATTTCTTGTCCTGAGTAAGTAGGACACCTCGGCCTGTTCCAGGTCTACAGACGCAGTTCATCTCTTGTAGGCATGCTGGATAAAGGTTCCAGTTTCTCTTTTTGGAACCCATCCTTTTTCCAAATGGCATATCTGTTACAATAATATCCACAGAGCCAGTTCTCAGTGGCAGATTGCAGATATCCCACTGAAAAGCATCTATGGGCAAGCCCCAGGAGGATTTGCCTTCTTTAATTTGACTCTTGGTCAATAAAGATAAGATGTTATTTGCTGCTCGATTCACAGCCAATGGATTATTATCACCAGCAATATGGTAACAGTTAGACCATTCTGTAGCACCCTCTATTGGTATTGCCCCCCTTCCACACATTGGATCAACTATTATATCAGTAGGTTGAGGAGCACAGAGTCTGAGCATCCCATAGGCAAGAATTTACCTGAGGGTTGTGGGTCCAAAATGTATATTTCTTCGGTGGAGACTCTCTTCAGTCAAAGCAATTCCCACAATGACTTCATTATCATGGATATTTAAAAGAACCACTACATCAAAGTTGGTCATATTGGCCTTCCACTTAAAGTGATCTTGAACAGCACCCCCAAAACCTCTTGCAGCCTCATTTGAGGTAAAGCAGTGTTTTTCTCCTGCCCCACTGCATGTGACTTGAATTTTATTGCTTGAGGCTCTGTTTCTTCTTTTGTGTTTTCATCAGTCTCACCTACTAATGTTGACACCTCTTCTTCAATGGCTGGGTTTTTATAATAGTCCAAAATATGTGAGTCTAAAGCATTGTTAGTGAAATCTTTTTTAACATCCCTCTCATCTAGTTTGTCTCCTTCCCCATTTTCAGTATTCCCTTTACTTGAATTCTGATTAATCTTTTTGAACTTTGTTTTTCTTTTCTTGAAACTGGTATTAATTTTCCATACTTTTAGAGGGTCTGACCATGGAAGTTTTCCAGCCAAGTCTTTAAAATGCTTTAAAACTTCTTCCTTTGTTTTTTTTGAATTGGTAATCTTTGAACTCCTTAACCACCACAAATAAGTTATCAGCTGATCTCAGACAATGAACCTGAGCCAGACTTTCCACTGAAACGTCAAATTATATTTTGCCCCGGTCTTTGCTGATTTTACAGGATGACCCCAATTTCTCTCACTTCATCTGCAGCTGTCTGCTCAAAGCCAGTAGGTACAGTGGCTCTGATAGTAACTTGGAGATGCTCGCATCCACTGTTGAGGCCACTTTCTGTCACTTGTACAGACCTCTGATTCTCATAAAGGTTCACATCCAGGAGTTGGTTAGTGGCTTCTATAACTGACATGTTGGCAGTGCTTCCAAGATTCCCAACACAGTCCCGGTCACCGGTCAGCAGTCACCAGTGCTGATAGGCTGCATTTTCAATGAGTACTCGATTTGGCATTTAAGTAAAGTCATGAGCTTATTAAAGAGAGCAGACCCCAAAGAGCAAATGATCAGCAAACAGAGAATCGAACCAAGCAAGGGGAATAAATATGGAAGAAGTCCATTCCATGTAGTCAGGAAGGGGTTATTGGTAAGTTGTTTTCTTCATTCAAGAAGATTTTCTTGTAGTTGTTTGAGCTTGTCACGAACGATGCCAGACTTGTTGGCATAAAAGCAGCGGCATTCCCGTAAAGCAAGACAGACACCCACCCACCCACCCTCGTTCTGCCAAGAGGAGGTCTAACCCATGTCTATTTTGGAGAACTACTTCTGTAAGGGAGTCTAATTGGTCTTGAATAAAGGTAACTGTGTAAGCCAACTCTTGGACATCAGAGATAAGGCCTTCAGTAACTTGTTTGAGGTGAAGAGAGTACCCTAATCCAGTGGAGCTGGCAGCTGCAGGTGCAGTGAAGCCTAAGATGGCAATAATGGGGAGGAATTGTACAGCACGTTTGGATCTAGTGCATTTGGAGTTACCCGGAATAAAGTCAAAAGCAGGAATAGGGATTGGTTCATCCCCCTTAATAAAATCTATGTCAGGGATAAGTATGGCAAGGGTACAAGAACCTACCCAGCATTCGGGTAAAAGGGTGTATGCTAAGTTAGTGACACAAAAAAAGATTGTATTATGTGGAATGCACAAATATGGATCTGTAGCTCCATTTTGAGCAACTGCTGTTTTAATTTCTTTTATAACATTAAAATCAAAGCCATTATGATGGTGCCATGTTTGTCCTTATTGATCTATGGTCTCTGTTACCGGGAAGGCTTTCTTTTCCTCAAGGTTCATCAATGGTTGCGGTATCTGAGCTGGTTTAATTTTTGTGCCAGGGGGAAGTGTGGGCTGGTAGCAGATCTCATTTTTAGATTTACCCACTATCAGTTTTTCCAATTGTGATATTAAGTCTCAATGTTTCTTTTCTAATCGAATTTGTTCTTCAAGTTGTTTAATTTTATTCAAAACCTCTTCCCTAGAATCAATAACCAACATCACCAAAGGTGGTGCAGATGTGACCGAATTGTAAGATGGCCGTCGTTTTTTGAAAGGCAGCCATTTTGGATTATTGTACTTGGTGGCCTCTATTTCTAGAGTTTTTCCTTCAGGTGGCCATTTTGGATTATTGTATCTGGCTGTCTTTGTTTCAAAAGTTTCTTCTTCTGAATCAGTTAATTGGTCATCTAAATGAGTTTTAAGTTCTGTAAGAGATGGGTATAATTTTTTCTGAGGCTTTTTAAAGTTTGTAACTTCCTCATTGACTCTTAGTTTTTTAAGTTGTTTTGGCCTGACATCTGATTGTTTATTAAGATTTGTTACTTCTTCCTCACTATTTAAGGAATTTAATTTTTTTTTCTTTTTTGGTGCCAGGGTCTATTTTAGTTTCCATGGCATCTTCACAATCTGTCTGAGTTTTATTTTTTTGCATAATTTGTTCTCCTTCTGCTACAGCTGCTGCAAATTTAGGGTCAGTTGGCCGGTGCCTAATGATCTCATCTATTAGATTCCAATAAGAGAGGAAAGAAAGAAAAAAATTGTTTAATCTTAATTTTAACTCCATGTGTCTTGAGGGCTTCGGTAAGCCCATGAACAAATAACTCATGTTTACTCATTTCTTGTTCCATAATCACCCTTATTACTTATAAGTAACCGTTGTTAATCACCAGGATGATTCTCTGCTGTCCTGTTCTGTTTTTCACTGGCCAGTCTTTCTTCTCTTGGTGCTCCTCACTAGATTGATCCCTCATACCCAAGTCCCTGTTCAGGCACCACATGTCCCAACCCGCAGTACAGTCGAACAGTAACCTGGGGGAGGGAGTGAGAAAAG